GCCAAACAGGAAATGAGATTCAAAAGTTCGCGGTTCTTTTCCTGTCTACCTGGCCAGTGCATCTGAGTTGAGAGTGCTGTCCAGAGCGGTCAGAATGGAGCACTCTGGGATAGCTCCCGGAGGCCAATACCATCGAATTGTGTCCACAGTACCCCAAATTCGAGCCGGCAACGTCGATTTAAGCGCTAATCCACTTGTCAGGGGTGGAGTAAGGAAATCGATTTTAAGAGCCCTTTAAGTCGAAATAAAGGGCTTCATTGTGTGGACGGGTGCAGGTTTACATCGATTTAACGCTGGTAAATTCGACCTAAAGTCCTAGTGTAGACCAGGGCTAACTGAGCCCTGAGTCCAACCTAAAGTCCAACTCCTTTTATAATCCATTTCCTGAGTAGGTACAAAGAACACATGCAGAGAAGGCAAGAAATGTCTTATTGTCTCCATAGTGCTTAGTAAAGCCAGGAGTCCTTCTCATTACTGAGCTACATGAGCAGGGCAGGAGGACTAAGGTTTTCCAAGGCTTCTTGGAAGGATTATAAAATAAAGATTTAGCATAGTACACACAGACTACCTAGTAGCTAATGATTTAATGTTTGTATGACTCAAAGACAATCCAAATGTTGATGGATTACTAGTCACAAGAGTTGGTGACACTGTGGGGTTTCTCCCCTTATAAAAATCCAGTGAAAAGTCTAATCTATTACTAATGTAAATATCATTTTTTTCAGAAGTGCTGCAAACACACTGCTGTCACAGGGCTGCAGATGCTCAGCACCTCTTAAAATCAGGCCACTTTTATTTAGGTCCCTAACTTTAGGTACCCCATGTTTGAAAGTGTTTGCCTAGGCACCTAGCTATACAGTTTGCTTAGTCTATGCACATGTGCATTCCACTCTTAGGTGTCTGCATGCCCCTTGGACAATCACAAGAAATTTTTATCTCAGTGGTACCCATTGGGGAAGCTGGAGCACCCTCTTCTGCTGCACACCGGTGGCGCCGCTATAAAGGGCTCAACCTGAGCCCGCACTGTTCCTTCTTACTGCCCGTGATGGTTGCTGGAACTGCTCATCTTGCTTTTGCCAGTGCTCTGAGTGGACGGCGTACTCTTGTATTTTATTTAGAGTTGCCAGTTAATCACAGTTAATTTATACGATTAATGCAAAACAAATTAACTAGATTAAAAAAATAGTTGTGATTAATCACAGTTTTCATCGCACTATTAAACAATAATAGAAAACCAATTTACAATTATTATAAATATTTTTGGGTGTTTTCCTACATTTTCAAATATACTGATTTCAATTATAACATAGAATACAAGGTGTACAGTGCTCACTTATTATTATTATTTTTTGTTACAAATATTTGCACTGTAAAAAAGATAAAAGAAAAAGTATTTTTCAATTCACCTCATACAAGTCCACTCAGTCCTACTTCTTGTTCAGCCAATAGCTAAAGCAAACCAGTTTGTTTACATTTACGGGAGACAATGCTGCCTGCTTCTTATTTACAATGTCACCTGAGAGTGAGAACAGGTGTTCACATGGCACTGTTATAGCTCGTATTGAAAGGTATTTACATACCAGCTATGCTAAACATTCTTATGCACCTTCATGCTTCAACTTATAGGCTCTAAAGTTTTACATTGTTTTGTTTCTGAGTGCAGTTATGTACATTTTTTAAAAAGCTACATTTGTAAGTTGCACTTTTACAATAAAGAGATTGCACTACAATACTTGTATGAGGTGAATTGAAAAACATCCTACCTCTCCTGTCGTTGGAGCCACTCTCACTACCCCTCCTCAAGACACCACCACCTTACCATGGACCCCTCCACAGGAGTACCATCTAGTGATTAGCCAGGAGGTCACTGGAGCCCTATGCCTGTCCACTGGTGTTTTTGGAATCCGTGTGGTTTTCCCCCAGTTACCAGATCGTATACTGGACACTCCTATTTGGTGGCCTCAGAGAGACCTACTCACTGGGCAGCACCCATTCCTGACTCCAGTACCAACATCAAGAGCTGGTTCAGCAGAACCCTGCGAGTCAAGAAATAGAGAAGGAACAACCCCAGCCAGTGGTGGCCTTCTCTTCCTCTTCCCATGACAAGGCAGTCTCAGCAGGGGGCATTTTGCCTTCCCCAGATGACTATAAGGCCCATCAAGAATTGTTAAAGAGAGTTGCCTTTGGCCTGAGCATAACAGGTGGAGGAAGCAAAAGAATCCTCATACTGCCTGGTTGATATTTTGGCCACAGCAGGTCCTTACAGAGTGGCCCTACCTCTCAATGAGGCCACTAGGGACCCCGTTAAAGCACCGTGGTGGACTCCTGCATCTCTCTACCCACTTTTTAAAGGACCAAGTGCAAATATTATGTGCCCTTCCAGGGTTATGAATTCCTTTTCTCCCATTCCCCCTCCCAGGGGTATCCGAGCGCAACCCCCAAATCAAAAGACTCAAAAAAGTTGGACCTGTTTGGCAGGAAAGTTTATTTTACTCGGGGGTGCAACTCAGAATTGCAAACCAGCATGCACTTTGGTGCAGATATGACATTAATGTATGGAATTGAATGCAAAAATGTAAAGACATGGTGCCAGAAGATGCTAGGCAAGAGTTCTCCTTGCTAGTGGATGAAGGAAAATCGATGGTAAGAGCCTTGCTGCAAGCTGTTCCAGATGCAGCTGTCTCAGTGGCCAGATCCATGGCTTTGGCAGTGGAAATGCACAGGAGCTCCTGGTTGCAGCCCTTGGGGCTCCCACAGGCGATCCAACAAACTTTGCAGGACCTGCCATTGGAAGGACCCTCTCTCTTTTCAGAGCAGAGTGACACTAATCGCCATGGGTTCAAGGACGGGGGTCCTAAAGTCACTTGGGTTGTGCACCCTAACCCCTTCCAGGAATCGCTTCAAACTACAGAAGCCCCATAGATATTCTGGTCCAGCTCCTTGACAGCACCTGCAGAGAAAGAATAGTAGGGGTTTTAGGTGTAGGCCGCCTCGTCATCAGTGCCTGCCAAACCTAGACACACAGGGGGTGCTAAGCAGGCACTTTGATGGGCCGCTCAAGAAAGCCACTTCACTGGATGCCAGACCCCATTTTTCCTCTATTTGCAAACTGTCTTTCCCATTTCCTCAGTGCTTGGTCCCAGATCACCACGGACTGTGGAAGTGGGATACACCCTCCAGTTTACTTCTACCCTCCCCTCCTTTTCTCCCTGCCTCCCTTTCAGAGACCTCTCTCACAAAGAGATTCTGGTCCAGGATGTTCAATCTCTCCGTCACGAGGGAGGCATAAGGAAGTTTCCACAAAAAAGGACAAGACATGAGTCATTGGTCAAGGACACTAGTCTGAGGGTACACTACCCATGACAAGAATGTAATTACCACACTTCCTATGTCGATTCTCAAATTATGTGCTTTCACATAAATAAAGCTAGAAGCCATATGAGATAGTACCATGGTTAGAGTAAGAGCCAAAAATAATGAAACAGTCACCATCAGCATGGTGCAATAAGCAGAAGAATAACTGGGTGAATCGAAAACCAGTACAGGCATTATATCAACGAGTATGGTCAGGAATCCTGTGGATTAGTAGGACAGTCTTTACATTACCAAAATTCCCAAATTAATGTTAGCTGAACACAACCAGTCAAATCCAGACTTACAATTGGACACAGTAGGATGCAAAGAGCACACCCACGCTCCCTTTCCTCCCGTTCTAGTCTCATGTTGAACCAAGTCCTTCACCAGAGAAAGCTGCACCAGTAGAGAACCATCTGAATTATCTTGCTGGTTTCTTTAATAACAAGCAAAAAAGACAGGTTTAAATCACAGATGACTTTGTTGGTCATTGACCTTGCATTGAAAACCACGAGACCCAGGATAAAGTTATTATTAGCTGTTGCCCTAGTCTACAAAAAGTTATAAAACCCTTTGTGAAAATCATGGGGCACATACAGATTTCAACCAGCTGGATTGCAAGTGAATATCAGTCTCCTCCCTTGTCTCCCAGTGCTCATCGCAACAGCAATCAAGAAGCCAATAAACCCAGAACAAATATGTCCACAAAACTTCCTAATGCCCAGCTCCTGACAGAGTTGCTCCACTTTCTTGGACATCATCAAGGCTTAGTGTTCTTGTCAGCAAACAACATAAATTCTGCTCTAAAACCCAGTGGTTTCTGCTTCATTCTAGTCCTGAATTCTGCATGAGCTCTAAGTAAATTAAAACAGTGAGGATTTTACTGAATGAAATGTGAAAATGTTAATGAATGGCAATGAATAATACAACCAGTCTACTATTGTGTGTATTATATATTTTAATAGTAAATTCAATTTATTTCATGCTACTCCAAAATATTCAGTTTTAATTTTAACAGCAGACATTAAGGTAACTTGAAGTTTAGGAGTGGAGGGGGTTTAAACTCCTAGTTTCTCATGTTAGCTGTAACAAGCTACCTCGCTGCCTGATGCCCCAATATCTGCGATTGCACAAAGGATAGATAAACACCCTGGGTAGATATTTTTCTTAAAATAATCAGCAATTAAATTATTAGCCGTGTTGACATATTAATTGGCATCACTAGGTTTCAGAGTTAAAACAATCATTGATATAGGACAGTCCACATCTGTCTTGGAGTTATTATTTCATTTTGTCTCTCTGCACACTCACACAGATATCACTACATTAGTTTACATACTCAGAAGGTTATCTTTGCAACCATTAGGGCTAGAAGCATTTTTTTAAAAAAGAAATAAAACTTAGATTTTGGAGCACAGTTCTACAATAGTGGACGGATTCTGGATCAGATTCCGTTGCCACAAGAATGTGTGTAGCTGCGCACAGAGAATTAAAAACATTCTAACAATATCTGCTATTCCGCGCCCCATAGAATTCAGTTTCAGAAGCAGGGAGGAGGGAAGATGACATTGTTTAGGAAGGCTGCACAGAAAGCCAAAGAGGATGAAGTGGAGACTGGCAGATAGTGTCACTCTATGTGGCAGTTCCTGCTGAAGTGTCCAGAGACTCTCTGATAGAGGGTGGACCTGGCAGAGATGGCTGGCAGTGCTCACAGTCATGTGAATGTACTCAGCCGCAGCCAACTGAAATTTGCACAGGAAGAATATATACTCTAACGCATTAGCTATGTGGGGTTGGATTCAGGCAGAGTAAGGACAGCTATGGGACCTTGGATTAAGGATTAGATCATATGATTGTGTGTCCCTCTGTGTGCTGCAGAGATCTGGAAGTAGTTGTATAAGGAGATTTTGTGTTTAAGCTATTGCCACTGCCAGAAGTGGTAAAACAGAGCTACACCAAGATCAGCGTCAGGAAGAAAGCAATAGAAAGTACCAGGTTATTTCTTATTTATATAATCAGTTTTCGTTTAAAGAATGTCAGTGAAAGAGATTTGTTCTGTTTACTTACATCAGCAGAAAGCAGAGCCGTTAGGAATTCTGCAGGTTTACTTCACTGAATACAAAAACTTCTGTTATACTGTGAGCCTGTTAAAGCTCCAGATGCAGTATTGCTAACCCTATTCATTCAAAAATTGTGAGTCAGGCCCCCACCAAAAAAATCATAAGCTTATCTTTAAAAAAATGAAATTTTAAAAAATAATGTTTTGATTATTTTGATTTGCACTGTGCTTCAGCTTTTATGGGTCATGTTTTGAAGCTTTTCTTTGTAGCTGTGAGGGCTAGAAACACTTTCATTTTTCACATAATCAATTGATTTGAGTAGTTGGGGCTTTAAGAAAAATACCAAATATTGCAAGGCTTGTGATAAAATCCTGAGGGTTGGCGACACAGCAGATGATGCTAGTTCAAAATTAAAATAGCCATATCCTTGACAAGTTTACCTTTAACACGCTGGGGTGGACAACTGAAAGATTATGTTTAGCGTTAAAGCATTCTCTTTGGTAGAAGCTATTCAGTTGGCCACTAGCTGCTCAAGGTTGGCTGGTAGACTTATTCATCCAGCTGTTTGTCATGTGCATCACTGGACAAAAAGGAGTATGGATTCCAGGTGGAGCTACAGGACTGGCCCAAACAGCACTGGCAGAGCTGGAATAAGTGCTCCCCAAACCAAGGTTAGTATCGGGGGAGCCTTCTGCTCTGCACAAACGACCCCTAAATATTTTTAATTTATTGACTTTAATATTATTTAAGTGCTCAATGGGCTAACAAAACAGAGAGAGTACCCCAAGGGTCGGTCCTGGGGCCGGTTTTGTTCAATATCTTCATAAATGATCTGGAGGATGGTGTGGATTGCACTCTCAGCAAATTTGCGGATGATACTAAACTGGGAGGAGTGGTAGATACGCTGGAGGGGAGGGATAGGATACAGAAAGACCTAGACAAATTGGAGGATTGGGCCAAAAGAAATCTGATGAGGTTCAATAATGATAAGTGCAGGGTCCTGCACTTAGGACGGAAGAACCCAATGCACAGCTACCGACTAGGGACCGAATGGCTAGGCAGCAGTTCTGCGGAAAAGGACCTAGGGGTAACAGTGGACGAGAAGCTGGATATGAGTCAGCAGTGTGCCCTTGTTGCCAAGAAGGCCAATGGCATTTTGGGATGTATAAGTAGGGGCATAGCGAGCAGATCGAGGGATGTGATCGTTCCCCTCTATTCGACATTGGTGAGGCCTCATCTGGAGTACTGTGTCCAGTTTTGGGCCCCACACTTCAAGAAGGATGTGGATAAATTGGAGAGAGTCCAGCGAAGGGCAACAAAAATGATTAGGGGACTGGAACACATGAGTTATGAGGAGAGGCTGAGGGAGCTGGGATTGTTTAGCCTGCAGAAGAGAAGAATGAGGGGGGATTTGATAGCTGCTTTCAACTACCTGAAAGGGGGTTCCAAAGAGGATGGCTCTAGACTGTTCTCAATTGTAGCAGATGACAGAACGAGGAGTAATGGTCTCAAGTTGCAGTGGGGGAGGTTTAGATTGGATATTAGGAAAAACTTTTTCACTAAGAGGGTGGTGAAACACTGGAATGCGTTACCTAGGGAGGTGGTAGAATCTCCTTCCTTAGAGGTTTTTAAGGTCAGGCTTGACAAAGCCCTGGCTGGGATGATTTAACTGGGAATTGGTCCTGCTTTGAGCAGGGGGTTGGACTAGATGACCTTCTGGGGTCCCTTCCAACCCTGATATTCTATGATTCTATGATTCTATGATCGGGGGAGCCTTCTGCTCTGCACAAACGACCCCTAAATATTTTTAATTTATTGACTTTAATATTATTTAAGTGCTCAATGGGCTAACAAAACAGAGAGAGACAGTCCTTGCTCCAGGGTTATAGTCAGGCAACAGTTTAGATATATAATACCTCAGATGATGGCTGATATTGTATACTATTGCTCAGAGTATTTTTTGATGTTTTAAAAACCTTTTCTTTATTGGTATTTGTCATATATTTGTCATATATGTCAGTGTCTCATCCAGCTGTCTATCACAAACAGAAAGAAAAGAAGTTGTTCAGTATCTCAGTAAATCTCTCTCCATTCTGCCACTAGTTTACCTCAAAATATTCTCAGGTAACCCCATGATTTCTGACTTCTATCCAGCAAATAATTTATGCACCTGCTTAACTTTATGTACTTTGACTTGTTCCATTCAGTATTTCCATTCAGTATTTATACACCAATACGAAGTGTTTGTAAAGCACTGCCAAATCAGAAAGGGGAAGCATTTTGCACACACTTTGCTCTTGTGTCAATGACTCCCCAAAGTGCAGGGGAACAGTGAACTGGACCATTGTGGGTACATGCCTACACTGCAATCAGGAGGTGCGATTGCAACGCATGTATGTAGGCATACTATAAATAGTAGTGTAGCTGCAGCAGCATAGGCAGCTGAATGGGACCATAGGTATGTACTCCTGGGACCATAGGTACATACTCAGGCAGCAAGCTTTGGCTGCTGTGGCTACTCTGCTATTTTTAGCGAGCTAGCTCAATTAGAGCTAGCTCAGATATGCTTGCTTACAGGTGCTGTCCCAGTTGCAGTGTAGACATACCCAGCGTTTATGCACTGTGTTAAGAGTCTGCCTCTACACAAATAGCTTTTCTTACTTCTGCTTATGAACATAGAGAAAGTATTTCTAAAATAAATACAGATATGAGTGTGATTTTGATGAGCAATGTGTTGTAATGAAGGAAGGCTCATACACTAAGATCAAAAAGTGTAATTCAACAGTTTTCTCTTTCATACTAAAAATAGTCATTGAAGAGACTTTATTCTGCATGATGGATCTAACTCAGTGGTTCCCAAACTGGGGTTTGTGAACCCTTGGGGGTTTGTGAAATGTATCAGGGGGTTCTCAGAAAAAAATTCTGTAATAGCAGACAGAGCCGTCCCTAGGGACCTTGGGTGCAGGGGCCCCGGGAGGTGCGGGGCCCGGCAGCCTAAGACCCGTGACCATGACTTCCTGGCAGAATAAGTTTAAGCTTTGTTGTAGTCATGCATTGTTTGCCTGGCCTGCTCAAGACCAGAATACTTGTGGGAGGAACTCTTTATTTGAGTTGGCTTCTTAAATACCTTCATGCTCTTTCACGTCTGGTACTCCTTGATGAAACATGTAGGAGGCTTAATCGAAGTGATATGAGCTACAAAAGTGAAATATTGGAAGAGTGTTACCATTTTCATAATGTAATAAAATTAATAATGTAATGATAAATAATAATGTAATCATAAATAGTGTGTAATAAGCATGTCATAAAAATTATTTTCTAGATCATTGCTTCTATAATTTATGCTCAGGTCAAGGAGAAAATCCCTGAAAATATTCAGCCCCTGCCTCAGTAACACTTAACATGGACTGAGCATGCTCAGTAACACTGCTGAAGCTCGCTGCCCTCACTCTGCTCCCCATCCCCCTATCAGCAGGCATGCGTCGTCTCTGGATACCACTAACCGAAAAGTTTCTGGTGATTGTGCACAGTGCATGCGCACAACCAAGAATGGAATGGGCCATGTGCAACATATCTCAATTAGACCGGCCAATGCCTGACACTGACCAATGCACGGAGGACCTGCCAAGCCTACCCCTCGCCGGCGACCCAGGGGAACCCATGGTGCTGAAACCCTTGGAGGACACCACCCTGACCCAGGCACCCTACAAGGGGGAGTCCGGAAGTAGCTTGGGGGCAGCTGACCCTACTCTGACTGCAGCACTGCCTGAGCTAATGTCAGTGTGTTGGATCCCCACTGACACAGCAGCGGGTCTTAGGCCGCTGCTAGGGCCCCGGGCTGGGACGCAGTGGAGTGGGTGGGCCTGCGTCCCCCCTGCCACCCACCTCCCGGGTGGCAGTCTCCCCCTCCCCCTGGTTGCTAAAGCTAGGGGCCTGGGGTTTGCTGGGGAACTATTTTGCTCAGCCCCTGCCTGAGGGCCTGAGCTTCTGACTGTTTGTTTGCGGCCCCGCTCTGATCCAGGACCTGGGCTTATATTGAACTGCTTGCAGGGCCCAGCCTGAAGGTCTGGGCCATAGACTGGGTATTCCCCAACCCAGCAGAGAGTGTAGTGAGGCTGTGTGGTGCCCCACCACCCTGACGCGGGATGAGCCCCGGCTGAGTTCCCTTACACTGCCCCAATAATAGAGAAACTGGGGATCCCACAGCAGCCAAAGTGACCATTTGGGCTGCTGTGGGCTCATGCTAGGCGGGGTGGGTGTGCCTATGCAAACAAGATCAGCCCTTGAAGTTCTTTTCCACAACTTGTTGCAATTCACCTCCAGATGTCAGGGTAGAGCTCATCCTGACTGCTTAAAGGTATACAAGTTCTCTTCCTGTAGCTGTCACGATTCAAGAAAGCAAAGCAATGATGCAGATCCTGCTGAATGGTTCTTTAAAATGTTTTGACATTATTTAGCAATACTTGTTTTCTTTCCTCTTGCAGATCATGGAACAGCGAGAGCTGCCTGTGCTTTTGGTTAATGAGGTGGGCGGTGTATGTGGTGTGCTGGAAGCTCATGTGGAATTCTTGAAGAAACACTTTCACCTTATCACCATGAAGGAATTTCTCAAAAACAAAAAACATTGAAGCAAAAAGGTCCAAGCTATTTATTTGTGGTGGCACAAACCAATCATTGACCGGGAACTCCTCGAGAGCCTGCCTGACTTGAAGGTGATTGCAAATTCCGGTGCAGGAATGGACCACTTGGATCTGAAACTAATCTCTAGCTTTGGAGTGAAAATGGCTAATGCTCCACATGCTGTTTCCAGCTCCACAGCAGACACTGGAATGGCTTTGCTGCTGGCATCTGCTAGAAGACTGGTGGAAGGTAACATTTATATCTTATGCGTATTTCCAGAAATCATATGAGCTGTATCTCCCACTAACTTGAATTTTCCTAGAACTATTCCCATTGTAATAAACTGTGAATGTTTAAACCACAGAAAATGTATTTGGATGATGAACAATAGCATTTAAAATACTAAAACCTCATTGTCTTTAATAGTAAGGGCTAGTTTGGGATATTGTCTATATGTTTATAACACATCTAGTTGAAACTATGTTGAAAAATCTTTGAGGAAAATGTCAATGGGTTCTGTTTAAGTGATCCCAGTGTCAATTTGTAGTGTATGGCCAGGGCTCGCTGTTCACACTAGAACCTGGATTTCTATGTCCAGAACTAGTGCGGACATAGATTTCATGCCCTTTCCCCACAATGTATTTTCAACACTTAACAATATTTTAAGTTGTCCAATGTTTGGCAGTAAGGGATTTATTTTAGGATGTAATGGCAATATAGTGTTATTGACAAAAAGTAACTAGTGATTTTGGGTACCCTACATGAGAAATTTTAAAGGGCCTGATACACAGACGGCACATGTTTACCACTCTCTGAAAATCAGGCCCCTTTAAAGTGTCTCAAGTTAGGCAGGCAAAATCACTAATCAATTATGAAAATCTGGGCCATTAGTTTTAAACCTTGACCTTTGACCTCCCTTTAAACTATTGTCATATAATGGCAAACCTTCCTCCAGAGCCATAAATATCATGTTTGGTTTAAAAATCCACCACTTCATCACACAAACAAACAAAAAAATTACCATGGTTATCACATGAACCTTCCACATTTTTGTTCAGTACCTGCAGAAGGAGCTCAGAATAACTAATGGCCCTGTGCCCACACCATGGCTAGGCAGTGCTGGTCTAACATTCACATAGAAAAGAGTCTGGACCGGACAGGGGCAGAACTGGAGAGGCTAATGGAATCAGGGGCACAATTTGGGAAGCTGCTGCAAGCTCTCCTCCTCTCTGAGCTTCTGTTCTAGTTTACCTCACCAATTCCCCCTTCATTCCCCAGCAACCTTCAAGCTACCCCAGGATTTCTCCTGGTTGAACTCCCTCTCCCGCATTAACCTGGTTCCCTTTAGCCAGCTCTGCTTCCCAACTCTCCAACCAGTTTCTTAGGGGCTCCAGTGAGACAGGCTGCTGCCCCTGAGACCTGCTTCCACTGCATGGGGAGCAGAGAGACCATGAAGGGGGAGATCAGTGACTTGTTCTCCCTTGTATCACATGGAGCTGCACAGAACATGGCAGCTGTGAGTCTAGCACAGTTGAGATTTTATTTTTAGGCATGACTAGTTGTACTACAGGCTTCACAATGCACAGCTTATGATTTGGGAGAGTTGGGAATGTCTGAGAAGGTGGATTTTAGTAACAAGACTCTATGGCCCTGTTGGCAGGCTAGCAAGCAGCATGTGTGACAGTCATTATTTTCTGTTTCAGAGTAACAGCCGTGTTAGTCTGTATTCGCAAAAAGAAAAGGAGTGCTTGTGGCACCTTAGAGACTAACCAATTTATTTGAGCATGAGCTTTCGTGAGCTACAGCATCCGATGAAGTGAGCTGTAGCTCACGAAAGCTCATGCTCAAATAAATTGGTTAGTCTCTAAGGTGCCACAAGCACTCCTTTCCTTTTCTGTGTTCTGCAAATAAAGATAACTTTTGTTTACTCTATAACCAGCATTAGCGGTTAATTGACAATCTAGGATTCTTTAGGTAAATTACTGACAAATGTTCTCAAAGAAAATAAATCTCCTTTCCAGGGAGAGCAGGAGAGGTGAACATGATAAGCTGTTCTTGTTTTAAATAACAACATAAACATCCAATATTATTCTCCATTAATAACACTAAACCCTGCATTATTACTATTGTGAACTATAGTATTCTGACCAGGGCTGTAGAATAGTGTCAGGAGGGCAAGTAAGGTGGTACCCTCCAAGTACACAGTACCGGCAAGTGAGTTTTAGCTGATACGGGGTATCGGAAAGACTTGGGGCTAGCCCCTCCCTCTGGGGGGTGGGGTGGGATTGCGCTCTGCTCCTTAAAGGTGCAGAACGCAGCTAGGGAGCGCATGGGGGTGGAAGGTGTTTAAACGGTGTTTTTGATTCTGTTTCTCCCCATTGGTCTGAATTGTCCATGACATCCATACTGCATCACATCAAGTCCAAATCATTAGAGGAATGCCTCTGCTTGCACTGACCAGAGGATGTTTGGATTCTGATGTCAGCCCAGTTCTGCAGCCTGACAGGAATCAGGTGTTGTCCCCAGTGTACACAGAATTCTTCTTTGAAGCCAAACTAGTCTAACATGCATTTTGTTAACTGGAACTGGAGCAGCAAAACAAAGAAAACAAATGCCTCATTTTCCAGCTTTGTGGGTGAGAGAACTATAAGTGAATATTATTATACTGATGGCCGTACGCCAGCTCCCTCAGGAATCTGCCAAGAAGTTTGCTGAAAATATGTTCCTCATCTTAGCAACAGAGCTAAGTCTTATCACACATCTGCCCACCTTTATTTGAATGAAGCTCCTTCTGATCTGACAGCTCAGGCATTGTCAGTTTCATCCAGAACAATTTACAAACTTGGAACCGAATCCTGTAAACCCTTAATCATTTGATCAGTCCCATTCAATGGGACTATCTGTATGACTGTGGACCACTGTCGTGGACTGGTAAGAGTTTCAGGAGTCTGTCCCTATAAAGGAAGTTGAATCCCCCATTGAAATGCAATGTTTGGGTACAATACCATAAAGCAGTTTAGGATACAGTTCTATTTAAAATTTGTCTTTTAACAAGTCATACCTATGCTGAACTGGCTCCTCACCCAACTTCCAGATTCCATATAAACAGACTGAATACTACACATTCGGGGGGAACATGAGTAGTTAAGTATGTTGATGTTTCTACATACAAACGGGGGTGCCTGAGGGGACGGGAAGAGCATGGGGCCCCCGGGCTGGGGGCGGGGCATGGAGGAGTCACATGGAGTGTCATGTGGGGAGGTCACATGCCCCCCCTTGTGTCCCTCCCATGAATGCAATACCAGCAAGAAATTATTCCTACTTGCACCACCGTGTCTGTGTAGTACTTTTTTTGCAAGGGTATATGCAGGTCAAAGTCTGGGAGAGACTTCCTAAGGGGCAAGAGTCTTTCTGTATTAACTGGAGAATCAATAGCACAGGGTGTAGGTTCCCAACATAACAGGGAAAGCCGATATTTTCAAGATTCAAATAGGATACTTGGAAGGGGGAAAAAAGAGCAAAGCCCATTAAAACAGTGTCTTTCCATTCTTAATAATTATTATTTACCATTTATGTTGTAGTAATGCCTAAAGGCCACATTCTAGCATTTTGTTGCACTATCTTGAAACAAATCAATTTCTCATTCAGTATTTTTCATTTTAGGCTGTCAGATGGCAGTTTCCCCAGACACTGAGTGTTTTGCTGCTGACTGGCTGGGAGATGAAGTCACCGGAGCTACTCTTGGTATCATTGGAATGGGCAGAATTGGGTATAAGATTGCATTGAGGGCCAAAGCTTTTGAAATGAAAATTCTGTATCACAACAGGAACCAGAGGTAAAAATAAACTTGATCCCCATCAAAGCAGAATATATTTTTCACTTCTTTATAATTATATAGTTAATTTTTTTAAAATATCCCCACCCTTTTCTAGGAAGTGTGCAGTTGTGGTATTTCCATTTAGCGAGAATGTATGATCCTGTGGTTATAGCAAAGAATTGCGATGTAAGGGGGAGAGGCCAAGATTTTCAAAAATGATTGATTGCTTTAAGTCAGGCTCCTAAAACCATGTTTAAACACCTAAATGTGGACTTGGACATTTTTTTAAATCTTGGCTTTGTTGGTAGCTTGCTGCAGAGGTGGCCAGCAGAATTAAAATGGAGGCCTGAAAGCTTTTTCCCAATTTTTTTATGCTGATTTTTTTTTAATTGGAAATTCTGGTCTTATTTCCTTGAAATTTTGTGGATGACAGACAAATAGGAGGATTATGGCATTACAAGAAAAGGAAAGCTGAATAACTGAGAGGGGATTACATTTTTAGTCAGTCTGTTTAAAACTCTTTTGGTGAAATCCTCGTCCCATTGACATCAGTGAGAATGTTGCTATTGATTTCAGCGAGGTCAGGATTTCACATGGGAGGAAGGAGATCTTTGTTATTAAAATTCAGCACTTCTGCCCCGTTAGCTACAGAATGAGAATGCACAACACACATTTGAGACCCTAAGGTCTTGTCTACACTGGGATTTCAGCCATCAGTGGCCAGCAGCTGGCATAGCTGTTCCTGTGCAAACACGTAGTGCTGTTATAAGCCATGATTTTCACCACTGCAGCTTTACCCCTGTTTGAAACTGGGGTAAGCTGCACTGGTGCAAATTGTGCCTTGTGGTGGTTTTGCCTGCCTATCATAGGGGTTTGCAGCAGTACAGCTACGCTAGGCCACAGATTACTTGTAACTGAGGCAAATCCCAATGTAGACGAGGCCACAGTCTTCCAACAATACCAGAGAAGACCATGTGTGATATTCCTAATATTTCTGAAGTAAAAAAACCAAGCAGAAAAAATGACTGGAAAAAAAAACACCTTGTAGGCCTCCTGTTATATATCTAAAGAGCCAAAAAAAGGCACAGACCCATTTTTTAATTTCCTCTGCAGATCACTGTTAACTTTGTGCTACCAATTTGGATTTTATTTACCTACCCAGGTTGTTGTGAAGCTTAGTTCTTGTTTGTAAAGCAATTTGGGATCCTTAGATGGAAGATGCAATAGAAGTGAAAAATATTGTTATTCTGAAGTACCTTTAAAATTATTTTAATTTTATCAAAGGGTGAAATATGTGTATTCAAGTAGTATATGTTTGTATTGGGTGAGACCCAAATAAACATCCTGAAAACTTTAGTGCAGTTTTGTTCAACGCCTGTCTCATTTGCTCCCTGGTTGTTGATTTAGGCAGCAGGAGAAATTTAATTTATGTGTTAGAAAAAACACATGATTAACTGTGACACCGCAGTTACAGGGTTTGGTCCCTGCCCAAGAATGTCTTTTTATAGCATACATTTTTATCTGACTCTTTAATTCTTCCTTCTTCATTTTCACTCACCAGTGTAAGGAGAAGTTTTTCAAAAGCACCTAGTGGATTTAGGAGTACAAATCCCACTGAAAGTCAATGGGACTCGTGTTCCTGACTTTCACAGGTACTTATGAAAAGCTATCCTTTAGTTCCCAAACTACAACTGGGAAAGTTTATAAAGAGTAGGATTGATGGTCATATAATAGTTCTGGTTTCAGAGTAACAGCCGTGTTAGTCTGTATTCGCAAAAAGAAAAGGAGTACTTGTGGCACCTTAGAGACTAACCAATTTATTTGAGCATGAGCTTTCGTGAGCTACAGCTCACTTCATCGGATGCATGCTGTGGAAACTGCAGAAGACATTATATACACAGAGACCATAAAAACAATACCTCCTCCCACCCCACTCTCCTGCTGGTAATAGCTTATCTAAAGTGATCATCAAGTTGGGCCATTTCCAGCACAAATCCAGGTTTTCTCACCCTCCGCCCCGCCCCCACACACAAACTCACTCTCCTGCTGGTAATAGCCCATCCAAAGTGACCACTCTCTTTAAAATGTGTATGATAATCAAGGTGGGCCATTTCCAGCACAAATCCAGGTTTTCTCACCCCCCCACCCCCTCCAAAAACCACACACACAAACTCACTCTCCTGCTGGTAATAGCTTATCCAAAGCGACCACTCTCCCTACAATGTGCATGATAATCAAGGTGGGCCATTTCCAGCACAAATCCAGGTTTTCTCACCCCCCCCCCCCATACACACACAAACTCACTCTCCTGCTGGCAATAGTTCATCCAAAGTGACCACTCTCCCTACAATGTGCATGATAATCAAGGTGGGCCATTTCCAGCATAAATCCAAGTTTAACCAGAACGTCGGGGGGGGGGGGGGGGGTTAGAAAAAAACAAGGGGAAATAGGCTACCTTGCATAATGACTTAGCCACTCCCAGTCTCTATTTAAGCCTAAATTAATAGTATCCAATTTGCAAATGAATTCCAATTCAGCAGTTTCTCGCTGGAGTCTGGATTTGAAGTTTTTTTGTTGTAAGATAGCGACCTTCATGTCTGTGATTGCGTGACCAGAGAGATTGAAGTGTTCTCCGACTGGTTTATGAATGTTATAATTCTTGACATCTGATTTGTGTCCATTTATTCTTTTACGTAGAGACTGTCCAGTTTGACCAATGTACATGGCAGAGGGGCATTGCTGGCACATGATGGCATATATCACATTGGTGGATGTGCAGGTGAACGAGCCTCTGATAGTGTGGCTGATGTTATTAGGCCCTTTGATGGTGTCCCCTGAATAGATATGTGGGCACAGTTGGCAACGAGCTTTATTGCAAGGATAGGTTCCTGGGTTAGTGGTTCTGTTGTGTGGTATGTGGTTGTTGGTGAGTATTTGCTTCAGGTTGGGGGGCTGTCTGTAGGCAAGGACTGGCCTGTCTCCCAAGATTTGTGAGAGTGTTGGGTTATCCTTCAGGATAGGTTGTAGATCCTTAATAATGCATTGGAGGGGTTTTAGTTGGGGGCTGAAGGTGACGGCTAGTGGCGTTCTGTTATTTTCTTTGTTAGGCCTGCCCTGTAGTAGGTGACTTCTGGGAATTCTTCTGGCTCTATCAATCTGTTTCTTCACTTCCGCAGGTGGGTATTGTAGTTGTAAGAATGCTTGATAGAGATCTTGTAGGTGTTTGTCTCTGTCTGAGGGGTTGGAGCAAATGCGGTTGTATCGCAGAGCTTGGCTGTAGACGATGGATCGTGCGGTGTGGTCAGGGTGAAAGCTGGAGGCATGTAGGTAGGAATAGCGGTCAGTAGGTTTCCGGTATAGGGTGGTGTTTATGTGACCATTGTTTATTAGCACTGTAGTGTCCAGGAAGTGGATCTCTTGTGTGGACTGGACCAGGCTGAGGTTGATGGTGGGATGGAAATTGTTGAAATCATGGTGGAATTCCTCAAGGGCTTCTTTTCCATGGGTCCAGATGATGAAGATGTCATCAATATAGCACAAGTAGAGTAGGGGCGTTAGGGGACGAGAGCTGAGGAAGCTTTGTTTTAAGTCAGCCATAAAAATGTTGGCATACTGTGGGGCCATGCGGGTACCCATAGCAGTGCCGCTGATCTGAAGGTATACATTGTCCCCAAATGTAAAATAGTTATGGGTAAGGACAAAGTCACAAAATTCAGCCACCAGGTTAGCCGTGACATTCACCTGCACATCCACCAATGTGATATATGCCATCATGTGCCAGCAATGCCCCTCTGCCATGTACATTGATCAAACTGGACAGTCTCTACGTAAAAGAATAAATGGACACAAATCAGATGTCAAGAATTATAACATTCATAAACCAGTCGGAGAACACTTCAATCTCTCTGGTCACGCAATCACAGACATGAAGGTCGCTATCTTACAACAAAAAAACTTCAAATCCAGACTCCAGCGAGAAACTGCTGAATTGGAATTCATTTGCAAATTGGATACTATTAATTTAGACTTAAATAGAGACTGGGAGTGGCTAAGTCATTATGCAAGGTAGCCTATTTCCCCTTGTTTTTTTCTAACCCTCCCCTTCCCCCCCGACGTTCTGGTTAAACTTGGATTTATGCTGGAAATGGCCCACCTTGATTATCATGCACATTGTAAGGAGAGTGGTCAGTTTGGATGAACTATTGCCAGCAGGAGAGTGAGTTTGTGTATGGGGGTGGGGGGGGTGAGAAAACCTGGATTTGTGCTGGAAATGGCCCACCTTGATTTTCATACACATTGTGAGGAGAGTGGTCACTTTGGATAAGCTATTACCAGCAGGAGAGTGAGTTTGTGTGGTTTTTGGAGGGGGGTGGGGGGGTGAGAAAACCTGGATTTGTTCTGGAAATGGCCCACCTTGATTATCATACACATTTTAAAGAGAGTGGTCACTTTGGATGGGCTATTACCAGCAGGAGAGTGAGTTTGTGTGTGTGTGTGGGGGGGGGGGGGGCGGAGGGTGAGAAAACCTGGATTTGTGCTGGAAATGGCCCAACTTGATGATCACTTTAGATAAGCTATTACCAGCAGGAGAGTGGGGTGGGAGGAGGTATTGTTTTTATGGTCTCTGTGTATATAATGTCTTCTGCAGTTTCCACAGTATGCATCCGATGAAGTGAGCTGTAGCTCACGAAAGCTCATGCTCAAATAAATTGGTTAGTCTCTAAGGTGCCACAAGTACTCCTTTTCTTTTTGATAATAGTTCTGCATTGTCAAAAGTTTAAACTAAAAATATCTCTATATCTGAATCATGGAGCATCACTTGCCCAAGGAACTCGTTTGCCAATTCCATCCTTCATAAAAAGAGCTTTATTTAAGGATGGTCAAGAAATCAGGACCACTCATAATGCACACATGCCACTGAAAACACACCTAGGAGACAGACTTCCTTTACCTCTGCTTTGCCACAAGTTTCACCTTCCTGAGGAAATTAAGTCTACAAGTGGCTGTCAAATCCATTCCCCCTTTGCGACTGTGCACTCTGCTGAAAGTGCATCACTGGTCAATTTGGTTACCAGTGATCCTGGGGAGATACTTTCCTAGTTGTAGTTTGGGAGCTAAAGTACCATTGGGAGTAACATAAGGTAGGAATGTAACATTTCCATGACCAAGACTGCCTCTAATGCAACATGATTCTTATTTCTCATCAGAACTGAGGAAGAAGAACGGGCTGTTGGTGCTACTTATTGTCCAAAGATAGAAGACTTGCTCCAGCAGTCAGATTTCGTGATGCTGGTTGTGAGCCTGACACCGCAGACATGTAAACTGATTGGGAAAAAGGAGTTAGAACTGATGAAACCCACTGCTACTCTCATTAACATCAGCAGAGGTAGGGTACAGTATAATGGTCTGACTGCACAACCCCTGTCTTCCAGAGTGTAGTACCAAATTGCACTGGGCAGTATAACTAGTGTACCAAGGACCCCCTGGTTCTAGAGGGTACGTCTACATAGCAATGTAAGCCCAGGCCTAACAGAACTCGAGTTAGCAGAACCTGGGTTTGTTAATTTAGGGCTCGAGAATTTACACTGATTTGTAACCCCAGACTAAGAATTGTTCAACTCTGGGGCTCAACCTGGGGTTCCAGCGTCTACACTGAATTATATGGTTCCAAATCCAACCACCCATATCCCAGACTTCCTAGCACCCTCCCAAAATCTGGCTGCTCTAGCTCTTTGTTCGTGGTGCAGTGTAGGAAAACTTGTCTGTCCACCAAACTTGACTGTCCAGAGGATCAAGAAAGCCTGAGATTGTGGGATACTTTTGGCAGACTCCCAGAGCACAAGTCCAGTGGGATTGCATCTATACTGCAAAGCAATAGGCCTTGACCCATGGGTCACAGCTTCACTCAGGCTCGGACCCTCCATCCCAATGGTGTCCTGGGACCCTGGATCTGAGCCATGGGTTAACTTGATTTGTGTGTAGAGAGAAGGTCGGTTAAGCTTGAGCCTGAGTTCAAACCTTGGGCTTACACTCTGGATATTATAAGGATAACAGAAACATGGTGGAATAGTAGTCATGATGGGGCTACAGCTATTGAAGGGTATGTGCTGTTTAGGAAAGACAGAAATAAAGGTAAAGGTGGTGGAGTAGCATTGTATATCAATGATGAGATTGAATGTAAAGAAATAAGAAGCGATGGAATGGATAAGACAGAGTCCGTCTGAGCATAAATCACATTGGGGAAGAAAACTACTAGAATCTCCACTGGGATAGTGCCTGGGGTGTGCTATAGGCCGCCGGCATCTAATTTGGATATGGATAGAGCCATCTGTAATGTTTTTAATGAAGTAAATACTAATGGAAACTGCGTGATCATGGGAGATTTTAACTTCCCAGATATAGACTGGAGGACAAGTGCTAGTAATAATAATAGGGCTCAGATTTTCCTAGATGCGATAGCTGATGGATTCCTTCATCAAGTAGTTGCTGAACCGACTAGAGGGGATGCCATTTTAGATTTGGTTTTGGTGAGTAGTGAGGACCTCATAGAAGAAATGGTTGTAGGGGACAACCTTGGTTGAAGTGATCATGAGCTAATTCAGTTCAAACTGAACGGAAGGATTAACAAAAATAAATCTGTGACTAGGGTTTTTGATTTCAAAAGGGCTGACTTTCAAAAATTAAGGAAATTAGTTAGGGAAGTGGATTGGACTAAAGAACTTAAGGATCGAAAGGCAAAGGAGGCCTGGGATTACTTTAAGTCAAAGCTGCAGAAGCTATCGGAAGCCTGCATCCCAAGAAAGGGGAAAAAATTCATAGGCAGGAGTTGTAGACCAAGCTGGATGAGCAAGCATCTCAGAGAGGTGATTAAGAAAAGCAGAAAGCATACAGGGAGTGGAAGATGGGAGGGATCAGCAAGGAAAGCTACCTTATTGAGGTCAGAACATATAGGGATAAAGTGAGAAAGGCTAAAAGTCAAGTAGAGTTGGACCTTGCAAAGGGAATTAAAACCAATGGTAAAAGGTTCTGTAGCCATATAAAGAAGAAGAAAACAAAGAAAGAAGAAGTGGGACCGCTAAACACTGAGGATGGAGTGGAGGTTAAGGATAATCTAGGCATGGCCCAATATCTAAACAAATACTTTGCCTCAGTCTTTAATGAGGCTAATGAGGATCTTAGGGATAATGGTAGTATGACAAATGGGAATGAGGATATGGAGGTAGATATTACCATATCTGAGGTAAAAGCGAAACTCAAACAGCTTAATGGGACTAAATCAGGGGGCCCAGATAATCTTCATCCAAGAATATTAAAGGAATTGGCACATGAAATTGCAAGCCCATTAGCAAGAATTTTTAATGAATCTGTAAACTCAGGGGTTGTACCGTATGGTTGGAGGATTGCTAACATAGTTCCTATTTTTAAGAAAGGAAAAAAAAGTGATCTGGGTAACTACAGGCCTGTTAGTTTGACATCTGTAGTATGCAAGGTCTTGGAAAAATTTTTGAAGGAGAAAGTAGTTAAGGACATTGAGGTCAATGGTAAATGGGACAAAATACAACATGGTTTTACAAAAGGTAGATCGTGTCAATCCAACCTGATCTCCTGCTTTGAGAAAGTAACAGATTTTTTAGATAAAGGAAACACAGTGGATCTAAATTACCTAGATTTCAGTAAGGCGTTTGATACAGTGCCACACGGGGAATTATTAGTTAAATTGGAAAAGATGAGGATCAATATGAAAATTGAAAGGTGGATAAGGAATTGGTTAAAAGGGAGACTACAGTGGGTCATACTGAAAGGTGAACTGTCAGGCTGGAGGGAAGTTACCAGTGGAGTTTCTCAGGGATCAGTTTTGGGACCAATCTTATTTAATCTTTTTATTACTGACCTCGGCACAAAAAGTGGGAGTGTGCTAATAAAGTTTGCGGATGATACAAAGCTGGGAGGTATTGCCAATTTAGAGAAGGACCGGGATATCATACAGGAGGATCTGGATGACCTTGTAAACTGGAGTAATAGTAATAGGATGAAATTTAATAGTGAAAAGTGTAAGGTCATACATTTAGGGATTAATAACAAGAATTTTAGTTATAAGCTGGGGATGCATCAATTAGAAGTAACGGAGGAGGAGAAGGACCTTGGAGTATTGGTTGACCACAGGATGACTATGAGTTGCCAATGTGATATGGCCGTGAAAAAAGCTAATGCGGTCTTGGGATGCATCAGGCGAGGTATTTCCAGTAGAGATAAGGAGGTGTTAGTGCCGTTATACAAGGCATGGTAAGACCTCACTTGGAATACTGTGTGCAGTTCTGGTCTCCCAGGTTTAAGAAGGATGAATTCAAACTGGAACAGGTACAGAGAAGGGCTACTAGGATGATCCGAGGAATGGAAAACCTGTCTTATGAAGGGAGACTCAAAGAGCTTGGCTTATTTAGCCTAAGCAAAAGAAGGTTGAGGGGAGATATGATTGCTCTCTATAAATATATCAGAGGGATAAATATCGGAGAGGGAGAGGAATTATTTAAGCTCAGTACCAATGTGGACACAAGAACAAATGGATATAAACTGGCCATCGGGAAGTTTAGACTTGAAATTAGATGAAGGTTTCTAACCATCAGAGGAGTAAAGTTCTGGAATAGCCTTCCAAGGGAAGCAGTGGGGGCAAAAGACCTGTCTGGCAAGATTAAACTCGATAAGTTTATGGAGGAGGGGGTATGATCGGATAACATGATTTTGGCAATTAATTGATCTTTAACTATTCATGGTAAATAGGCCAAATGGCCTGTAATGGGATGTTAGATGGGGTGGGATCTGAGTTGCTGCAGAGAATTCTTTCCTGGGTATCCGGCTGGTGAATCTTGCCCATATGCTCAGGGTTCAGCTGATCGCCATATTTGGGGTCGGGAAGGAATTTTCCTCCAGGGCAGACTGGAAGAGTCCCTGTGGGTTTTTAATCTTCCTCTGTAGCATGGGGCATGGGTCACTTGCTGGAGGATTCTCTGCACCTTGAAGTCTTTAGACCATGATTTGAGGACTTCAATAGCTCAGACATAGGTGAGAGGTTTATCGCAGGAGTGGGTGGGTGAGATTCTGTGGCCTGCATTGTGCAGGAGGTCAGACTAGATGATCATAATGGTCCCTTCTGACCTTAATATCTATGAATCTATGAATCTAGAGGCTTTACCCCAACTCTCCAGGGGGCTGACTGGGTTCAAATGAAGAACTTTTGGTTTGTATGTGTTGGGGAATGAGAAAGAGCAGAGACGTTGGGAACTGGGATGGGACTGTCCATTTGAGGGTGGTGGCTGGCTAGGGAAGCTGTAAGAACTAACTGGAATGGTGGATGACACTGCTGCTGGGATTGAAGCTATCATGACCTTAAGTAACGGCTTTCTGGATGTCTCTCTCTCTTTCTCTCTCTCTCCTCCCGCCCTCCCCCTGGGTAGAATTTTTTCAAATGTTTGATAAAACTTCATTTGGCTGTTTTTGTTTTTTCTTTGAAGTGACTGAAAATGTTCTCCCTTAAAAAAACCCAAAAGATTGTCAGATGCTCTTTTACACCCTGATAATTCACATTAGATTCAAATATGCAAATGTGTCATGTGTGTAGTCCTCAATGAATCATATGAGTTGATTGATGTATACAATTGTTATGAACTGGGCAGTATTCAATTTGTTATGTTCTTATCTACTCATTTCCTTACGTTTAAGTGCTTGGGTATTGTAGATGATGTGGTGACAACAGTGTTCTTACCTAGAAACCTTAGCAGCTTTTTACAATGAAGTTTCTAAAATATATTACAGTATTTAAATGTATGCATTGTAATACTATAGATGTATATATTCTGTTAGCTATATACAATAAAACAAACTGTTATATATGTATGTGCCATGGGGATAGTTACTGTTGCTGTAGTAACCAGAATTTAGAATTTCTTGACTCTGGTCCATGACTCTCTTAACCATAACACCACTCATCTTCTGCATTTACATGGTAAACTTATCTCACTGCTTTGTTTAAAATTAGAGCCTCAAATTCTGGCCCTCTCTCTACATGTGTCTCCCAAAGTAAGAGCAAATTAACAATTTGAAAATGTTAACTGTTTTGTGTAAAATGACTAACAACATTTACCCACTTCATTGGGTTGTTTGGAGGTTTGGTTAATGTTTCCAAAGCACTTTGAAGAGGAAAAACAGTACATAAAATGTAAAATAATTGTGTTAACCATTTAAACACGAGTTCTTGTGTTTGAGCTGTAAATCCATTTGTATTTAATTTTTAATATTAAAATCTCTTTTCTAAATTAACAAATAATGAAGTTTTCCCTTTATTCTTTGTTTTTCTTTATCCTGACGTTATCTAACATGGCATTAAGAAAGTACACTGTTATTTCAACCCAGGTCCAGTGGTAGACCAAGATGCACTGGTGGAAGCTCTTCAGACTGGTGTTATCAAGGCTGCGGCTTTGGATGTCACTTACTCCGAACCACTTCCCAGGTACACAGCCGTGTGTATTTATCAAAAAATATTTAAAATCACAGAGAACAAGAAATAAGGACCAAAAAAGGCACAGCAGATGGGGATTTGGTGGAGGTTGGAGATTGGCACGGATGGCTGCCCTCTGTCTCTGAATTTAGCATGCTGTCATGTTATGCACTATGACTGGGAACACGCTGGAATGCATAGTCTGGTCAATTCAAACACCCAAGGCAGTAAATAGCAGGAGGGCGGTACATTTGCCAAGCTAAGTCCTTTGGCCAATGCCTACCACAGAATCACAGCATGCAGCAGCGGCAGCTGTGGTTCCAAATTCTTTACCTGAAGGGAGAAAATACCAGTCCCAGGGCAACAGAAATGATGGTGATGGGTAGACACTGTATGAGCCACCACTGCTCAGACTACCTCTCAGAAGCCTCACTTCTCCCCTTCCCTGTAGGTCTTGTCTCCTCAGTACAGCGTTGTTTATTTTACTGATGTTTTGCAGGTCTCTCGGTCACGGATGCTCTTTAACTTCTACAAAAATAAAGTTGCTAGGAACTACGCCTCATGGAATGAATTGTCCCATTTGACTTTAGAGCACTAAGCAAGTGGGCAGGAATGTCAACTATCTGAGTCATGGAGATAAAGTCCATGGCATCACATAGGGTCAATCCTTCCCCCCAATATGTGGCACAGATTGCTGCCTATCGCAGAAAATCAGTTTCTGTGCTTCCACGAAGGAATGATATAAAATCTTAAAACACTCCATCAGCGCCCAAAACAAACTGAACTCGATTCACAAAGCTCTTAAGCAGACACTTACATTAATGAGATTGAACAAGTGCATACATTTAAGAACATGCTTAAGGGCTTTGCTGAAGCAGGGCCTTTATTAGTTAGGATAATGCCAGTAGCCATCTTAACCACACCTGGCTTTTTTTATTCCTTTTTTTGCAGAGATCATCCATTATTAAAACTAAAGAACATTCTCATAACTCCTCACCTTGGCATTAAAACAGACAAGGCCATTTGCATGACAACAGAGGAAGCAGTTGCAAATATATTGGCAGCTCTTAATGGTCTCCCTATCCCCAATGAAGTGTTTCCCTAGCTGATATATTAAAGGACACAGCTATAAAAGAACATTATTCTACAACTCTCCTTACAGGAATGAAGACTTGTTATTATATATGTGTGAAACCTTTGAATTGAACCTCAACCTTAGCCTTGATTTTGGTTTGCAAATAAATAATAATAGCTCTCTTATATTGCATTTTTCATCAGTAGATCACAAAGTACACTCTACAATTGAGGTCAGTATCATTACTCCTATTTTACAGATTGGGAAACTGAGGCACAGAGAGAGGAAATGACTTGCCCAAGGTCACCCAGCAAGCCAACGGCAGAGCCAGGAACGGAATGCAGATCTCCTCAGTCCCAGTCTAGTGTTCTATCCTCTTGTCCAAATGTAGATCCAACTGTAAATGGTTTCCATATCTTATTGTTCACTTTGTACTTTGTCACAGCTGGACACAAGCTAAATGGATCTGTGAAAACATTTACTGCTGCTGATCGTTGGTGTGTTTATAGTTCTAACAATGTTCTTTAGGGGAGATTAAATAGGGTACTCCCATAATATTTTCCAATATGTTAATTAGCTTACTTCCAAGTCTGGTGAATATGCCTGACCTTGTTGAAACCCCACCTAGTCTATCATTTTGCAGTGGCTTTTTAATATAGAAAAACAAGTTTATTCAAATCCAAGCTTTTATATATTTTAGAGCCATCAAAATATGTACTCCAGTAAACTTCAGTAGCCCTTTTAAGGTGATATTATACAAGATAAAATTTCCCAAATTATGCCAGTCCCAGAGACTTTAAGAAATAGTATTTCCATAGACGAGAAAGGCAATTAATGTCTTTCAAAGGGGAAATACAGCTGGCTTTGATGGGTTTCGCACTGAATTTTGTATGTCAGTTCTTAAAGAAAATGTTTTATGAAGGCTTGCAAGAAGAAATGACTCCCATCCACACTAGCTGAGGCCTAAATAATACTTACTCATAAAACAGGAAAAGACCCTTCATTACATGTCTTCTACCTACCAATAGCCATACTTAATAAAGATATGAAAATATTGGCCAATACCCTCATGCTAGGATTAGGGAGATATCTCTCATAATTCAATATTGTCCATAATTAATTAACACAGATAGAGGCTTTGTGCTCATCTACAGATTGTCCAGTAATCTCAGAAGAGTTTTTTTATTTAATTCATTATTCCAGTGTCACCAAAACCCTCACCCATATAATATCTATGGAGACATAAAAGCCCTTTGCGTAGACAAGCCTTCTTTTTAGGTATTAAATCAGTTTGACCTTGGCAAAATGTTGATTACAATTCTGAGCCCCAAAAAACCACAGTGCTGATTATTACTAAAAATCAGCTCCTTCTGCCTCGTTTAAAGACAACAGCTAGAGATATCTCCGCTCCCCAGTGCTGTTTTTTCTTGTTATGGAACCTCTCGTAGAGATGTTTAGAAGCAGTAAACAAATAAATGTATACAAATTGGCAAGATAGAGGAAGAAGTTGCGCTGTATACAGCTGATTTGCTGACTTTTGTTGTACTCAAGATGTCTAGTCCACGCCTGCTTTATGAGACGCTTGCAAAAATATAGTAAACTATCTGGTTACAAATTAAGATCTCCGAAACCTCTGATGTCCTGCTGTGTAAGGGAGCCACATAGGAAGTCTTCATTTAAACAAGTTCCATCATGAATAAAATATCTTACAGTGCAAGTCCCTTCAAACCTCAAAAATGGATCCAGGATACATATCACCACTTAATCCATTCAACCAGGACTTACTCAGGCAGGCTAATTATCAGCAACAGCAGTGGGAAGGAGAGTCATCTTCAAGATGAAATTTCCACTGTGTTTGGAATACCAGATGTACTCATATAAATTTACCATCCTGATAAATGTTGGGTTAAGGCCTACGTAACTGGGGGTAGCATACTTTGGGATCTTTCACCACAAGATCTGACACTCTGCCTCCAGGGATAAATCTGGGCAATAGGATTCCAGCTTTTATAAAAAGAGAAAAACCCCAACAACTTGTATTGAGTACTTTGACACTCTGTACCTCAAAGCAGCTCCCTAGACCCCCATATTCACCCCATATAATTATGATATATTTCATATAAAGCATGCCATGTCCTTACATGAATGCCATGTTCATAAGAGAAATCATGATCTGCTGAAATCCATTGTTCTGTCCAAATATGTATATCATTAGGGTGTATGAAGTTATGAGATTTTGCTGTATGGTTGTTACTGAGATGTGTTGTAAGTCTGAGAGTCTCTAATGCTAATTCTGCAGTGACAAGGACAAGGGACATAACCAACACTTGTGCGGGTGTTGAACGATCATCACCAGTCATTGACTAGCAGGGGAATAGTAAACAAGGGATTTACAATTCAATGACAGTTGTGCAAACACCACACAATGGGGACTGCTCAACTCTGTGATTCACCAAGGCTCACCTGGGCCTGTGTCTTCCAGGCACATGGACTGAGGATATAAAATAGCGGACAGTGGCATCATGATAGGGCTTTTCTCCTCCCCCACCTATGCTGGAAGCAACAAAAATGCTGGGAAGACAAAGACTTTAGCTGAGGAGACTGGTCCCAGGCTTAGAAGGGGAAGCCTGTGTATTAAGAACTGAAACATCCAGTGGGGTGAGAAAACACTAGATCTAAACACTGTCTAGTGTAACAAGCTTTAAGATTTAGACTGCGCTCTTACCTTTTATTTTCTTTGGTAACTATCTCTGACCTTTTATGCATACCACTTATAACCACTTAAAATCTATCTGTAGTTAATAAATCTGTTTTATGTTTTACCTAAAACAGTGTGCTTTGGTTGAATTGTTTGGGAAATCTCAATTCAGGTTACAAAGGCCTGTGTGTGTTGAGGGAGAGGCGGACTGGGTTATAAACTTATACTGGTCAGGCTTCTGACCAGGGCAAAAGGGTATAGTCTGAGGTGCAAGGTTGGAGGTTTGGCAGATTTACTGGTGCCTTCCTCTGCGTGATTTCATGAGTGGCTCTGGGAGCATTCATGCAATTTAGCTGGGTGTGTTGCTCCATGTGTTGTTGTGCTGAGTGATAACAGCACCTGGAGGGATTTGCTGCTTGTAACTAGCAAAGCATTGTGAGAGACAGCCCAGGCTAGAGAGTTAAGGAAGCACAGTGGTACCCCAGTTCCAGCTTGTACCCCAGGGATCTTCTCACAAGTACTGTTCGCTAAAAATGTGTATATTTACTATTGGACATCAGAGCAAAATCCTATGCTAGACCAATGGTTTTCATTCATCAGACTTTTTGCTTACAGTACAGATCGTGGTTTACATCACACAGAAAGAAATGGTTATACATAAAAAATGGTTATACATGCTACTATACTTTTGTAAAAACTCTATAGTGTATTCCTTACCATATAGCATCAAAGACTACTTCAGCCTGTTTTCAATCTGATCTGAACCTATATTGTCTTAGTATGTATATACAATCTAAATAATTCATCTATGTACTACTTCAAAGTGTTAGTGCTTGTGTATTGTATTACTGTTTTATTTGTTTATTACATTAGTGCAAATAAATATATCATGAGTGAAATTCTGACCCCACTGAAATCAGAGGCAAAATTCCCACTGACTTAAATGGAGCCAGGATTTCATCCCTTGGGTTTAGGTAGCAGTGTGTGAGAAGCCCTAGAAAGATCTTTGATAGAAACAAGCAATCATCATTTAAATTATCATTTAAATTAAATTGTGCACAGCACTACCTAGTACTTACAAATACAAATAGATAAGAGCATGTTAATGCACTTGTACAATACTCCCATATTGACACCTCCTTATCTATTATTGGGTGTGGACCACGTCTATCTTGATTGAATTGGCCCTGTCAGCACTGGTTCTCCACTTGTAAGCTAACTCCCTTCTCTTCATGTGTCAGTATAATAATGCCTGCATCTGTAATTTTCACTCCATGCATCTGAAGAAGTGGGTTTTTTACCCATGAAAGCTTATGCCCAAATAAATCTGTTAGTCTTTAAGGTGCCACCGGCCTCCTCCTTGTTTCTCTATGTAGTTCTTTGTTTTCCAAATGCAAACACAGCACAAATAGCAAGTCATGGGAGAGTTTGATTGGTTGGGCGTGACACTGACTGTACATGCCCTATTTGTGAATAGGTGCTCTCATGCAAGTATATAAAAAAATGCAAAGCATTCAGTTCCAAGATTAGTATGTACCCAAAATTATGTTGTCATGACACATAAAGTCTTAACGAGTCCTCTCTAAGAAACCAATTTGGAACTGGTTGCATCACAGGGCAGTGTTGTTTGGTTAATATTTCTTGACTTGTGGAGTATATTTATGTTTAATATTTTCATGCCTCTCTTGGACAAGAAGTTCTTATCCTTCTAGTCATACAGTTTAGATAATATTGATTCTACCTTTTGTGAAGCTGGCTAATGCCTCAAATTTTATGTCCCTTAACTTCTTGAGATAGAGACAGCAATAAGCCCAGTGGGGACTGTCAGAAAAGATGTACTCTCACACTGTCAGCAAGCAGCCTAGATTTTCTTCCGCAGAAAACTCCTCCCTCACTCCACTCTCCTTGTGTAACAGCAGCACAGCAACTGACGCCTCCCTGTTCCTTCCAATTTTTCTGAAGGCTTGAAACTTTAACGCTGCTAAGAGTCACTTTCATTCTAACTTCCTAATTCTCAGCTCTGAAGTGGATCAACTACAAAATTAGTAAAGGCAAGCTCTTCCCGGCAGCTCTCTGAAATACCTGCAGCAGGCAGCTTCAAGAAGGTACTTTTCTTTTGTTTGAAAAAGTGATAAATCATTCTGCAGCCCAGCAACCTAAACACTGTCAGCTCAGTGGCTGATAGGGCATGATGGGTGTGCACTCCTGTCTTTCACTGCCGGCCTGCTGTTGCTGTCCTATGGTGAACAACTTATTGTTGAGACGTAGAATTGTCACCAGAGGTACGCTTTGTGCAGTATACAAATATATTTAGAGAGCAGTGACTTGTCTTGAATGTCACAATCCCATTCCATTTTAAAGAGAAAAAAATCAATTCCTCCACCCACCTAGTAAGCCAGAGGTGGGCAAACTATGCCCGCAGCGGGCCACATCCGGCCTTGAGCTCCCGGCCGGGGAGGTTAGCCCCTGGCCCCTCCCCTGCTGTCCCCTCTCCCCTGCAGCCTCAGCTCACTGTGCCACCAGCGCTCTGGGCGGCGGGGCTGCAAGCTCCTGCCGGGCAGCGCGGCTGCGAGAGCCACCGGCCTGCCCCGGTGCTCTAGACTGTGCGGTGGCGTGGCTGGCTCCGGCCGGGCAGAGCGGCTGCCAGTCCTGGTGTTCTGAGTGGCATGGTAAGGGGGCCGGGAGAAGGGGGGTTGGATAAGGGGCAGGAGGTCCCAGGGGGCAGTTGAATGGGGCAGAGGTTCTGGTGGGGGGCGGTCAGGGGATGGGGAACAGGAGGGGGTTGCATAGGTGTGGGAGTCCCGGAGGGCCTGTCAGGGGGCGAGGGTATGGATAGGGGTCGGAGCAGTCAGGGCACAGGGAGCAGGGGGGGTTGGATGGGGGTGGGGTCCTGGGGGGGACGGTTAGGGGTGGGGGTCCCAGGAGAGGGCGGTCTTTGGCTAGAAGTTATTAAATTAATTCATTAAGTCAAAAAGACTTGGGCAATTATAGTAATAGAAGCACTTGTGGAGGTAACTGTACAAGAAACGGATAAACAACTCCTGGGGCCTGATCCAAACTCAGTGACATCAATGGGAGTTTTCCCACTGATTTCAATGGCCTTTGGATCAGGCCCCTGTAGAAATGGCCATTTTCCAACTGGCTAAAACCTGGGAAGTGGCTGTTTACTAGTAGTTCTGGAGTGAAGAAGAGGGTGGCTTAGGACTTCTGCTAGGAGTGAGACTCAGCTCCCATTTTCCAACTGCTGGAAACCATTCCCAAACCCCAGACTGTGTCTAGACATAACGTGCCACCGCTGTTGGGTCACAATCTGAACCTTAAACCTGGGACTGGTAAGGGTAGTTGGGTGGGTCACTTCAGGAGCCTGGTGGTTGGCAGGAGGTGAGGAGTCAATTAAGGAACTAGCATGAATCAGAGAGGCCTGAGGGAATCTGCTCATGCAGGCAAGTGACTGGGGCATTGCAGGAAGAGTGGGGCAGAGTAAGGCAGGATTTTTGGGACCGACCTTCAGGTTCAGAAGATCTGTGGAATTTGGGGGATGCAAGTTTCTGTTCTCTGTGGGGCAAGTCAGTCAACATTCCTTCCTCCCGCAAATAGTGCACACCTACACGCTCCTGTTGAAATAAAATAAAATAAAATAAAATAAAAGGAAGGGAATTTGTTGGTATTTAATCCCAACCCCCAAAGGAATAAAAAGTGCTAACGAAGGAAAGTTCTATACTTTGTGTGTTTTAATCTCTCCAGCCCTACCGGCTGGCTGGTTGGGAAAATTCAAGTGCTTTTAAAACTCATTTTCCAAAGTGCTAAAACTACCCATGACAGAAAGCTAGTAATTAAAGCTTGAAGTATACTTTTCAGGAAACTATGGGGTTTGGGTGGAGATTGTTGGGTTTTTGGCATTTTTGTTTGTTTCATTTTTAGTTTTTTGCAGCAGTTATAAATGCAACATACTTTTGTTTTGAAAGGCTTCTTATTTATGTGTTTAACCAACCTGGAAAAATTTTTAAACTAATCTCAGTAAATATATATGAAGTCTACAAAATGTTAAGTGAATATGGTGGGGGGGGGGTGTTTTTTTGCCCAGAACATAGTCCTTTTTTACTCCCTACATAAACGGGGGTTAAATTCTGTTCTCTCTTTCTTTAATAAGATAGCAATTGGGTTTGAATTTTAAATGATGGATCTGATTTTTCCAAAGTCAGCAGAGTCCATGCACATCAAAAGCTTGCAATGTTTTTCCCATTAAGCAAACAAAGTTAGTGACCTAAGGCACAAAGTAAATTAGAGACTGCAGTGCACCTAGTCAATAAATAACACTCTCATTAGGTTAGATGAAATCATGTCCTCAAATACTCTCATGAAAATTCACTGACTTCAGTAGGGTTGTGTAAGTGGAAGTGAATGCAGAATTTGGGCCTGTGAGCACAGAGATGTCCTTTGGCCCACAAAGCTTTGAACTGTATAGACTTTGACCCTTGAATTGATATTGTTTTACTTAATTATTTCTGTTAAATTTTATCTTGTATCTTTTCACATAAAAGTGTTTGTTAGGACAGCTATGCTATGCTATAACAGCAATGCATTCTTGCTAAAGTAATAATTGCTTCCAAACTAGACTATCCCTCTGAATAGTGCAGCAGCAGTTTTTCAAAATAATAAGACCGGGAGACTTTGGACATAAGTTTACTGTCTTTTTCTTTTCTGCCGTAACAGGGCAAGTGAAGTAAAGCCCTGCTGAACTGTTGTTTAAAACATGGCGGGAGGGGGAAACGTTACGCAGGGAAACACTTTGGGTTTGTTTCCTTTTGTAGGGCATGGAAGAGCAAGAGCTCCTTATGTGTTGATAAACACTATAGGAGGGACATACGGAGTCTATGAGGACTATGTCGAGTTTCTGAAGAAAAATTTTAACCTTACCACCATGAAGGAATTTCTTGAAAACAAAAACCATCTTAGTGAAAAGATCAAAGCTATTTATATGTGGTGGTACAAACCAGCTGCTAACCAGGAGCTTCTCCATAGTCTGCCTAATTTAAAGGTGATTGCAACCTCTGGGGCAGGAGTGGATCATTTGGACTTGAAATTGATCTCCAGCTTTGGAGTGAAAGTCGCCAACACTCCCTTTGCTGTTTCCAATGCCACTGCAGATCTGGGGATGGCTTTAGTGTTGGCATCTGCCAGGAGACTAGTGGAAGGTAACCATTTAATTTTTTTCAATAAAGATCAGCATTTCAAAATATGCTATGATAAAATGTATGTTGATGCATAGTTAAAAATATAAATACACAAAATCAAGGAATGGGAGAAAGTGACAATAAATGTCTCATGGTAACGTTAGCTTGCCCACAGGGCACATATGATTTCCAAACAAAAATTTCAGGAAAATAGATATGCCTCTCCAGATACCTCTAGTTTTAGAGCTTCCCTCCCTTACCCCAGCTCATAACCACCACCCCAGACTGCTTGTTCCCTCTGCTCCTGCTTTTCCAGGCCCAACAAGAGGGAGCACTGTGCTGTGCCTTTTTGAGGCTGATGTGAATTAGCTCCATAGAAACCTTTATTCCCACTTCTGTGCCTCCTCTCTCTGCCTGCAACATATATGCAGGAGACACAATGGCAGCCAGGTGTCCTGCAGCCTCCTGGGGCTGGAGTAGATCTGGCCCCACCGAAAGCCGCCTGGTGATGATACTGCAACCTGTAGCGCACCAGCTACATTATCCAGAGTCTACAGTGTAGCTGACACAGCTATGGCATTGGTGGTGGGGCTTAGCTCCATTAGCCCCTAATGACTAGCCACCCCAAGATAGATGAAGGGCTGACAATTTCTCTTGCTTCCAGAGCCAAAGAAGACAAGATCAGGTTTGTGATGGAATTAAAACTGAGGTTAAGAGTCTTGTCCCATTCCCCACTCTCCCCCAAAGGGAGTTGCAGGGGAGGGTAAAAGGAGACATTTACTGCTATGAGCAAGAAATCAAGAGCTCTGGCTGCCAGTGTCAACATTACCCATCATGTGTTTTATTAAAAGGTAAATGTAAATATTGGTGCTCCATTGCCACGTTGACTTGTGAGCCAAAGGAAAGAAATGGGTATCTGAATGCCTGGCATCATTCCATTCCTCATGTGCTATTTTTCTTTTTTAGGTTGTCAGATTGCAGTTTCCCCAAACACTGAGCATTTTGCTACTGACTAGCTGGGAGATGAAGTCACCGGGGCTACTCTTGGTAACATTGGAATGGGCAGAATTGGGTATATGGTGGCCAAGGGGGTCAAAGCTTTTGAAATGAAAATTCTTTATCACGACAGGAACCAGAGGTAAAAGTATGTCTGAACCCAGTTAGAAAATCA